CTCACGGCCACTTCCACATCCGTCCCCTCTCATCATCCAGCAGAAAGGCATTATTTCCTGGAAACTTTGTGACCACAAACCAATGACCACAATCTAAAGCCAAAAGCTGAAATAATATTTAGATAACCCCAGAGAAATGGACCCCAGGAGGGCGATGTTGAAAAGGAAGAAGGAGATGATACACACACATCTGGCTACACACATGTATGATGTGTATATTTGCCAGAGAGAAATCAGGGCCCCAGTCAGGAAGCCACGGAGGGTCAAGTTCGCAGAGAACTCATCAAAGAGGTCGAGGGGGCAAATCCCACCACACGAAGACCATCCCCAGAGGCCCTGGGGAGCACCCCAGGGGTAAATCACTGAGTACTGACCACACCAGTTCTGAGGCGCTTCAGCACCAAGAACTCGGCAAAAGAAAACTGTCAGACTTCATGGATTTGGATACCTTCCCCCCCAAAAAAACAAACAAACAAAGGACAGAGAGACAAGAGACCCTGTTTTGGTTTTTTTAAAAAATAAATATATTTGTATTGATTTCAGAGAGGAAGGGAGAGGGGGAGAGAGAATGAGATAGAAACACCAATGATGAGAGAGAATCACTGATCAGCTGCCTCCTGCACGCCCCACACTGGGGATCGAGCCCGCAACCCGGGCATGTGCCCTGACCGGAAATGGAACCGTGACCTCCTGGTTCATAGGTCGGCACTCAACCACTGAGCCATGCCCGCTGGGCAAGAGACTCTGTTTTAAAGTCTGACATCTCCAACCTCCATTCCATGGCAACTTTCAGTAACTCCTTCCCCAGCAAATACTTGCCAAGGGCTCCCCAATGGCCAGGGGCTGTGCCGCTGGGCACACAGCCTCTCCTGGGCACAGGCCGGAGCCGTCTATGTGTTCCTCTGTGTGCACAGGTGGGCACTCCTCAAACACAGTCATCTCTGAGATAGCTTGGAGAAATCTCTCTTACTAGTCTACTGTGAAGAATGAGATGGATTTGCATGCACTAACAGAGAGATGAGAGTAAGACTAAAACCTGCACAAGGATATATATTCTGTGATCCCATTTTAGCAACTCTAACAAAAAAGGGAAACAAATATTTACATACCTATTTATACATAAATAGAAACCATGTGGTTCCCTAGATTGGAAAAGCTGGTGAAATCCAAATAGATTTTAGAGTTTAGTAAACAGTAATGTATCAATGTTGATTCCTTAGATTTGACAAGTACACAGTGGTAGTGGATGATGTTGATGACGGGAAAGTGGGTGAAGGGTTTATGTGGGAACTGTACTCTCTCTGCAGCCTTCCCATAAACCTAGAACTTTCCCAAAACAAAATGGTTATTTAAGAAAATAAACAGTGGTTTAGACTTCTGCTCAGAAGTCCAAGGATTCTGTCTCTGAGTCAGCTTTGGAAAGGCCTGGGTTTTCATGCTGTTTGGAACTTTGATTTCTGAAATCTGCACATATATTTGATGGGTGGAATCAATTTTTACAGACAGCA